GCTTCTCCTCCATTTTATAATCACTGCAACCCTGACAGACAGCAGTGAGCTTCACAGAACCTGCACCATCCTAGTCTGGCTCTTCAGGATCAGACCTTATATCATTTAACGCCAGCTAGGAGCAGACCAGCAATCCAGCCTCACCTCACATGTGTTCGACACCTACCACTTCAACCAGAAAACACACAACTGTCCAGAGAAGTGGACACGGAGCAATGGATCCAAACTACAAGAAAGAAGATTCCACCTAAACATTAGGAAGAACTTCCTGACAGTAAGAGCTGTTCGACAGTGGGATTTGCTGGCAAGGAGTGTGGTGGAGTCTCCTTCTTTGGAGGTCTTTAAGCAGAGGCTTGACAACCATATGTCAGGAGTGCTCTGATGGTGTTTCCTGCTTGGCAGGGGGTTGGACTCCATGGCCCTTGTGGTCTCTTCCAACTCTATGATTCTATGATTCTAATGGCAGGTGTGTGTCATGCAACACAATGCATGCCTAAGTATGCTTACTCAGGTGTATGTTCCGCTGTGTTCAGTGCGGCTCTCTCTCAAGTAAATGTGGTTATGATTTCTTCCTAAGACCATCTTTAAAACTAAATTTATTCACAGCACTGATCAAAATTCCAGGTCAAAAATCAAAATAGCACTACTAGGACCACACACACTATTGGCCCTCTGACCAAAACAGTGACAATGACCCTGAAATAAAAAAAAAATGGATCAGGGAGGCAACTAAAGCAGAACATCTCCATGCACAGGAAGCCACATTCCTGCATGTGCACAAAACTCCCTCTCACACACACACACATTCAAGGTGTGTTGCTAACACACTTTGGAGAAGTTAAGGCACTTACAGATTCCCTCAGTGTGTTGAACCCAGAGCGAACTGCTCCAGAAGCTCTGCATCTTGGTAATCAAGATAGCCCCACCATTAATTGATAGTTGCTGTAATGATGAGCTCCTATATAAAATCACAGAACTGTAGAGTTGGAAGGGATCCCTAGAGAGTCATCTAGTCCAGCCCACTGCAATGCAGGAATGTTAATGTTTATGAATATATGTTTGCATTCACTTGCTTTGATATAAGCTAACTGGCTTGCTTTAACCTTATCTGTGGGTTTGGGGTGCTGGGCTCTGAGCCCAGAAAGGGGGACTATCTAGAAGATCTGGGTATTTGCCACCTATGCCCTCATCAGGTCAAGTGATGCAAAGTCCTGCCCAAAGTGGCATATGCTGCTTTGTGTACAAAGAATGTAAAAACGTTTGCTTGGGCGCAGACTAGTCACGGCAACCTCTCATAGTTGCGGTGTCCGTCCTGCACCCGTAAAGGCAATGGGACTCATAGAATCATAATCATGTGCAGACTGTGCAGGCTATGCTGCAAGCTTACATTTTCTTTTTTTAAAAAAGCGCTAGAACCAATCACTCTGGCATTTTTGACGTCCTTCTTCAGTATACCTGCCCTGCTTTGGTCTGGTGGACCAGGATACTCAGGTTCCAAAAGATGGCAGTGGAGCATCATCGAAGGATGTGGGAGGAGTCTGAGAACTGATTTGGAAAAACAGCTAGATGGCAGCATTGTCCCTCCATCAGTTGTTCGCTACAACTACCTCCTAACTGATGTGTGCCTGATGAAACAAGTGGGGCGGATGTTTTTTGACCTGGAATGAGTTTGAGCTCTGTAGTGATGGCAGTGAAGAAATAGCACTTCTCTGCCACCGTTGCATTTGCACAGAGTTGCCCCATGGAGCTTTTTCAAGCAGCCCAAAGTCCTGCTACATCTTGGTCCACTCAGTAGCCTTTTGTCACCAATTTGAACAACACTTTACAGATGAATTTCCCCAGTTGCATGCCAGCACAGAGGTCAGTTAGTTGATATAACTTTGGCTCCTGCTTATCCGGTTTCATTTATTTATTTAGATAGTTTTTTTCCTGTTCTGCCCTTCTAATGGTCATGCCCCCACTTTGGGCGGTTATTTGCACAGCCCAGGGAAATGGACAGACAGGATCCTTGGAGGGGAGACACCTCCTTGGCGTGAGCGATTCTAAAAGCTGCCAGGGGGACTGGTCAACAGGACAAGGGCATTCGTAACTGTCTCCTTATTCCAAGAGGATGTGATATTGCAAAGTTTAGCTACTGCAGAGCTTTCTCCCTCCACCAACTCTCTGATACACGTGAGAACTTTGTCTGGACCAAACTGTGCTGGTGGAGCAATACTCCCTCCCCTTAGCAGCTGGGATCAGCTTCTTCCACATCGGAGACGTACGGGTCAGCTGGAAAGCTCTCTGCTGGTGAGTGCCAGGCCCCCCATTCCAACCACGGATGTGAAAGCCAAGCCTTCATGTGGACTTTCTCCCTTGCAGCACCACAGCCTGGCCACACAGAACAGAACAGTCACTGCGCACACAGAGTCCCACTGCAACTCCCTACAGGGCCAGGGACGTATTGTCTCCATCACAGCAGGAGGGAGGTTGAAGCAAGAACATTTGAAGAGCACCACTCCCTTTCTCCCAATCCCTTTCCCCGAAACACACTGTTCACCCAAGTCCAGACACCATGCATTGCAGCCACTGATCAAAAGGCTCCAGGGAGTGAATACCAACAAAGGTGGCATGAGCTTTTCCTTTACAAGAAAAGCTACCTCCTGTTTAAGGGCAGATTAAACAATTCCATTTTAGCAAAGGCATGAACAGGCAGACATAGCTGCACTCAGTAAGACAGGTCCAGAGCCTGGTCTTGACCATTTTACGAATGTGATGAAAAACTGATGTACTGTACTGTTACTTTGGCAGGAAGATTATATGGTTTCTGGTTACAAACCTTTTTCTTATGCAAATAAAGCAATATACTGATCAAAGGCACTCTTGTTCACCTTGCCATTACCATCCTTGCCAACAACAGCATCCAGAGCTGTTCAGGAACAGCCAAGAGTTCTCACAACCTGTCACATTTTCCAGACTCCTAAGCACCTTTCTGCCAAAGCCAAAGAGGTCACAATATGTAGCACATTCTTTTCTTGGCTACACTGGAAAGGTTTTGCACAAAAGCAGCTCAAACCAAGTGGTGAAAAAGCTGCTTGCTTTCAAAGACATCAGAGGCATTTCTGTGTTACAATTTCCCCAATTTGGGAGCTTGTGGTGATCAGTGGAGCAGACCAGACGGCTGGATTAATCTGAGAGTGTGGCCAAGAAAAACTCTCTCCAGCAAGACACACTTAAGAGTGCACTAAGGAATCCCAACATTTGCAGAGAGATCTTATTCTCAAGTTACACCTCCTGATCAGTATCACTCCCGAGTCCTCTGCACATGGTGAACTCAAGCACTGCGCATGGGGGGAAATTAACACCGGCATTCCAGCCCTCTTCCACAGGCAGAAGACTCTACTCCTACGCCAGTGGAGCACTGCCAGCACATAGGAAAAAAGTCGGCAGAGGTGGAGGCATGGTGAACAAGGAACAAAGCTCGGGAGGAATCCTATGCTTACTCAGGGCTCATTCCTACTCCCTGTGATGGCACAGCAGTAGCATCCTGCAAAAGCTGCATTAACATTAAAACACACCCTTGGGAGACCATTTAGGTTCTCTCACAGGGAGCCTTGCCAGGTGCCAGCCTGAAGTTTTCCTAGTGACAAGTGAAAACTTTTTTATTTGCCTTTTGGCTCAGGGATGGGGGACCTGCAGCCCTTCAGATGTTACTGGGCTCCGGCTCCCATCAGCGTGACCAGGATAATGGGAGCTGGAATTCAGCCAGGCACTTGGAGAAGCTTTTACTTGAGAGTGGGGTAGAATATGGGGGTAGGGGAGTGGGAGTGGAAGAAAGGCTGCAATAGGGGTCATCCCTTTTGGATACATTGCCCTGCAGTAAAAGCCCCTTTTTGCCTCCACTTAAATAATTTTGCATGTTGTTGTTGTTTTGCAGGGGGGAACAGGACAAAGATTACAATGACAAGCTAAGTACCCAGCTTTCTCTTATCCAAAGGAAACTAAACTTGGTAGCAGTGCCCTTGAAAATATCATCGCTTAGAACTGGGGAGCCATATTTCGGTACCTTTTACCCAAAGCCTTTATTTCTGTTTTGTTACAGGTACAAAGCCGAATTCACCATCTGCAGTTAATCTATAAAAAAGGGGCAGCCGGCAGCCCACTAGGGACCTCCGACCTCCAGAATGCATATTCTGTCCTTTTCGCCCGCTAGCCCACAGCAGCTTGAGTTTATTTTCTTTAAATCACTTCCACATTTCCCAGCCATAATCATCAAATATTTTGCCTCTGACCTCATTTTCAGGGAGGCTGCAACTCTGGGGATTCAGACACCATTCCTTCATTCCTGGTCAAACAAAACGTTTGGCTTTTGAAAGAGAGAAGAGTCCCAGCGAAAAGACTTGTGGAGAAGCAGATGATCCTCTAGCAGGGCTTCCAAAAAATATTTTTAAAAAGAAGGGAGGTGGTGGCACCGCCAAGGCTTTATGAGGAGACCTCTGAGACCTCATTTCGCTCACAAGGTCTCCTTAAGGGACCTCACCGTGAAGCTGAGGATTGCTTCCCCCCAAAGGAAAGAAGAAAAGCTGTTTCTTAAAAGAAAGGAAACCCATCTTCTCTTCCACATGGAAGCAGAACTACAGTGGTACCCTGGTTCTCAAGTTGGAATACCCTTGGGACTCAAACAACTTGGAACCCAAACACTGCAAAGCCGGAAGGAAATGTTCCAGTTTGCAAACTTTTTTCAGAATCCGAACCATGCTCCGTTTTGAGTGATATGCTCCTGATTTGAGTGTTACACTGAGGTCTTTTTTTTGCTATTTATTTCACGTTTTCCTCGCTGCGGCTCTCTTTTTGTGTGGAACCCAGCACGACTGCAAGTACATCCTTTCTTGCTTTCATTTCATGGATCCCCGCTCTCCTCAGATGGCAGCATTCCTGCTCAGCTGCTGTGGGAGGGGTTGTTTTCCAAGGTCTGGACCGGATTCCTCCGTTTTGCATTCCTTTCTATGGGAAAGCGCGCCTTGCTTTTGGAACGCTTTGGTTTCTGAACGGATGAAGTTTGAGAGCCAAGGCGCCTGGAGAAACTCCTTTGCCCCCAAAAAAAGTTCTTTCTTGCTGGAAAAGCCCCTCCGCCCGCCGAGTTTCTCCCCCCGCGGCCTCCGGCGCTCCCTCCCTCCCGCCCCTCCTTCCTCCCCGACCAGCCAAGTTCTCTCGGCCCGGCTTGGCGGCCTCTCCCTCCCCTCCCTCCTTCCCTCCTTCCCGCCCGGCATCTCCTACCTCCGCGTCGCGGAGCCCCAGGACGGTCCCGGCCAGGACGGCCACGGCCAGGCTCCTCCACAGCTGCTTGCAACTGAGGGAAAGAGAGGAGAAGAAGAAGAAGAGAAGCTTAGTCGGCGGCGGCGCCGGAGGAGGAGGAGGCGAAACTTGCCCCGGCCGCCGCCGCCGCCTCCCTCCGGCCTCCCTCACCATCTTGGCTGGCTCCTCTTGGCGGAGAAGAAGGCTGCCTGCGCGCTCCTTCGCGGCTCTCTCTGCCTCGGCGGATGCTGAGGGGAAAGGCGGCTCCTCCTCTCTCGCCTTCTCTTTCTTTCTTTCTTCCCTTCCCTCCATCCCGCCCCCTCAGCGCAGGGAGGGCGGCCCGAGAAGAGGGAGGGGAAGACTGGAAACAGGGGGGGGGGACCAGTTTCCCCCCGGAAAAAAATGAAGAGAGAAAAAATGTTGTGTGGGATTTTCAAACTGTTTTTTTTTTCAACTTTCCCAGGAAAAAAAAACACCCTGGTTTCCCCCCAGTTTTTACTGGGTCCCCCCCCCCGACCTTCCCATCTCAGGGAGAGAAAGTCCCAGCAACGTCGGTGAGCAGCAGGGGCTCCAAACTCAGCTTTCCAGATTTTTCCCGATGAATCCAGGGACACTTTTCAACTTCAATGGATTTTGTATGGGGACTGATTTGTGAATCTGGGGACTCTCCCCCGGAAACGGGGACGTCTGGGAACCATAGTCCAAACCTGTTTTTGGACATGCCCCACCTGTATTGCACTTGGGCAAAAAAAAATGAGAGGCACAAATACAAGATGAGGGACACCTGGCTTGAGAGCAGTACATGTGAAAAGGATCTAGGAGTCTTGGTTGACCACAAACTTGACATGAGCCAACAGTGTGACGCGGCAGCTAAAAAGCCAATGCAATTCTGGGCTGCATCAATAGGAGTATAGCATCTAGATCAAGGGAAGTAATAGTGCCACTGTATTCTGCTCTGGTCAGACCTCACCTGGAGTACTGTGTCCAGTTCTCGGCACCACAGTTCAAGAAGGACACTGACAAACTGGAACGTGTCCAGAGGAGGGCAACCAAAATGGTCAAGGCCTGGAAACGATGCCTTATGAGGAACGGCTAAGGGAGCTGGGCATGTTTTAGCCTGGAGAAGAGGAGGTTAAGGGGTGATATGATAGCCATGTTCAATATATAAAAGGATGTCACATAGAGGAGGGAGAAAGGTTGTTTTCTGCTGCTCCAGAGAAGCGGACACGGAGCAATGGATCCAAACTACAAGAAAGAAGATTCCACCTAAACATTAGGAAGAACTTCCTGACAGTAAGAGCTGTTCGACAGTGGAATTTGCTGCCAAGGAGTGTGGTGGAGTCTCCTTCTTTGGAGGTCTTTAAGCAGAGGCTTGACAACCATATGTCAGGATGCTCTGATGGTGTTTCCTGCTTGGCACTCGATGGCCCTTGTGGTCTCTTCCAACTCTATGATTCTAAGCATCTCTAAAATCCTGATGACTGCGACCCCCATGACATAGAATTCTTCTTATTCAAAAAGTGAACAGGTCCTATTCATGTGATGGAAAGCAGAGCACACGGAAACACCGTTTACCTTCCTGCCACAGCCGTACCTATTTATCTACTTGCACTTTGGCGTGCTTTTGAACTGCTAGGTTGGCAGGAGCAGGGACTGAGCAACGGGAGCTCACCCCGTTCACAGGGATTCGAACTGCCGACCTTCTGATCAGCAAGCCCAAGAGGCTCAGTGGTTTAGACCACAGCGCCACCCACTTCCCTCACTTTGTCTAATGGGTGGGCCAGCCCTGCTTTTTATTTAGCTATTGCCATTACCCCTTCTGCCCACTTTCCATGCCCAAGGGGCTTCGCCTTGGTTCCATCAATACATCCCAAAGGCCCAGCCAAATAGTGTCACAAGTAGGGGGTCTGTGAGAGACCATTTTGTCCCCAGCAACACCTAAGCACTCCTCTTTCCTTTGCTCTGCCAGGAAAGCCTAAGCAGCAGACACACACACACACACCCCTTTGGCCGCAGCTTGCCCCCATGATCTGTGATGCTTGGATACCAATGTGCCCCCCTTCAGTCTCTGCATGCCCCTGCCTTCATGGTTGGGGCATCGGCCGCCCCTCTGGCCAGCCCCCACTTCCTTCCTCTCTCTCAATTCCAGCATAGCCTGGAGAAGAGAATCGAGACACGCGGACTTCGCCTCTCCTCGCCTACATCCACATGTCTAGCAGCTGTGCTGAATATAAGCAGGGAGAGAGAGGAAAGGGCAGGTGAACTTTACCTGCTCCCCACGGATGCACTGCAGTAAAATTGAGGATAGAGGGAAGTCAGAGAAGTCGGGCAAGGTAGAAACCTAAACTCAGGCCTGATTTATGAGTTTGGAAGACAGCATTCTTGCTTGTGCATTGTTCGGTGTAACCAGTTTCATGCTTCAATTGGGCTCTCAAGAGCGTGGCTGCTCAGCTGCCTACTTACGCTCGGAACAAGGCATGTATTTCAGTGGCATAGCAGCATTTGCCGGTGCCCAGGGCACATGTGAGCAGTGGCGGGGTGTGGAGGGTCAGCGGAGCCAGCCCAGCCTTCGCCACTGGAGTCAACGGGCCACGCTGGGCCACCAGCCTGCCTGCGTAGGGGGGAGCCCAACCGGCTGACACAGCCCTTGGCAGGTGAATCCCCTCGACACCCACAATGAAGGAATGCCCGGCCAAGCCATGCTGGGGTCACCCCTTGCCCGTCTCCGTGGGTGGCCATTCAGCAAGGGGGCTGGAGGATGCAGCATCGGGCCAGGTCACACCCCGGGGTCCAGAGCCCCTGGTGGCAGGCAGGGCAAGACAAGGATCTCGGGGGTGTGGAGGTGTGTATGTAACCCGAGGTACCACTGTACTTAATCCGAGGTGCCACTGTATTTGGGTAAAAGGTGTTCGCTAACACGATCCAGAAGGAAGGCTGGCATGCATTAAGAAGTGCAATACAGTGGTACCTCGGGTTACAGACACTTCAGGTTACAGACGCTTCAGGTTACAGACTCCGCTAACCCAGAAATAGTACCGGGTTAAGAACTTTGCTTCAGGATGAGAACAGAAATCGTGCTCCGGCGGCATGGCAGCAGCGGGAGGCCACATTAGCTAAAGTGCTGCTTCAGATTAAGAACAGTTTCAGGTTAAGAACGGACCTCCAGAACAAATTAAGTTCTTAACCCGAGGTACCACTGTACTTAAAAAGGGACGCGGGTGGCGCTGTGGGTAAAACCTCAGCGCCTAGGGCTTGCCGATCGCATGGTCAGCGGTTCGAATCCCCACGGCGGGGTGAGCTCCCGTCTTTCGGTCCCAGCTCCTGCCCACCTAGCAGTTCGAAAGCACCCCTAAGTGCAAGTAGATAAATAGGTACCGCTTTACAGCGGGAAGGTAAACGGCGTTTCCGTGTGCTGCGCTGGTGCCGGCTCGCCAGAGCAGCTTCATCACGCTGGCCACGTGACCCGGAAGTGTCTCCGGACAGCGCTGGCCCCCGGCCTCTTAAGCGAGATGGGCGTGCAACCCTAGAGTCGGACACAACTGGCCCGTACGGGCAGGGGTACCTTTACCTTTACCTTTACCACTGTACTTGGGTCTCCAGGCTCCTCACTATCTTCATCCTCCTCCTCTGGACATGTTCCTGTTGTCTGTCCTTTTTAATCTGTAGTGTCCAGAAGTGGAAGCAATATTTCAGGTGAGGTCTAAGCAAAGTAGAAGAGATCGCTGCTTGTGAACTGCTTGAAGACGAAAGAGCTTAGAAAAGAAAAGAAAGAGTGGTGGACTTATTGATGCTTCCCTTCAAAAGGGAATTCAGACAGAAAAAAGGAAATGAGGACACATTTTGAAGCAGGCTTCCTCAACCTCGGCCCTCCAGATGTTTTTGGCCTACAACTCCCATGATCCCTAGCTAACAGGACTAGGGGTGGTGGAATTGTAGTCTCAGAACATCTGGAGGGCCGAGGTTGAGGAAGCCTGTGAAGGCTGGATAAGTTCGGTTTTGTGCAAAAAATAATATTGATCTTAGAGGCACTGCAGAGATTATTGGCAATCCCGACATGGAGATTTTTCTAAATCTCATTTAATTGATTAGCCATTATGATAGCAAAGTTAAAAACCATTCATGAAATTATAAAACTGGCTGTAAACTTTCACGTAAAATACAAAATGATGGAAAATGTTTGTGCTGAAGTGATTTCAAGGAGAGAGAAAAGCAAAGTATTATTCATTACTATTTTATTGCACTCCAGACATTTCTCACCATGAGCAAATGTATCGGATTATCAGGTCTGTCCATAACTGATGTGGGAAACATTTTGATCACGGAAAGCTTTGTAGAGTTCACTGAAACGAAAGGGAAGACGGGAAGGTGGTTTAGTGGATGAAATCATGAACAAATTTAAACAAGACAGCATCAATATTAAAAATGCCTGAGGACAAGGATAAAATAAACAGCAAGATATGTCTTTCATGTGCGAAGGTGTTCAAGCCCTTATATTAAAACGAAACACCTAATTCTGACCCTGAAGTATATCTCATGGCTTTGATGTGTCTGGGACAAAATCAATGGTACTTCGGTAACTAACTCATACTAAGGGCACGCCAACAGTTACTGTATTTTTTGCTCTATAAGACTCACTTTTTCCCTCCTAAAAAGTAAGGGGAAATGTGTATGCCTCTTATGGAGCGAATGCAGGCTGTGCAGCTATCACAGAAGCCAGAACAGCAAGAGGGATCGCTGCTTTCGCTGCGCAGCGATCCCCTCTTGTTGTTCCGGCTTCTGAGATTCAGAATATTGTTTTTCTTGTTTTCCTCCTCCAAAAACTAGGCGCGTGGTGTAGTGGTTAAGAGCGGTAGTCACGTAATCTGGGTAACCGGGTTCGCGTCTCCGCTCCTCCACATGCAGCTGCTGGGTGACCTTGGGCTAGTCACACTTCTCTGAAGTCTCTCAGCCCCACTCACCTCACAGAGTGTTTGTTGTGGGGGAGGAAGGGAAAAGAGATTGTTGGCCGCTTTGAGACTCCTGAAGGGGGAGTGAAAGGCGGGATATCAA